AACACAGAGGAAAGGTTCATGACATTAGATTTGGCAGTGGCTTCCTGGATACAACACCCAAAGCACAGGCAACAAAAGAAACAGTAGATCAATTGGACTTCATCAAAATGAAAAACTTTTGTGCTCAAAGGACATGATCAACAGAATAAAAAGGCAACCCACAGAATGGGAAAAAGTATTCTCAAATCATGCACCTCATAACGGATTAATATCCAGAATATATAAAGAACTCCTAACACTCAACGGCAATAATAACAACAACAACTCAATTAAAAAATGGGCAGAGGACAATAGCTAAAACATGGAAAGAGCCTAAGTGTCCATCAACAGACGAATGGATCAAGAAGATGTGGTTTATCTATACCATGGAATACTACATGGCAATGAGAAACAATGAAATCTGGCCATGTGTAGCAACATGGATGGACCTTGAGGGTGTTATGCTGAGTGAAATAAGTCAGGCAGAGAAGGATAGATACCATATGTTTGCACGTATAGGAGGATTAGGAGGAACTTGACGGAGGACCAAGGGGGAGAAGAAGGGCGGAAATGGTGGGGGAAAGGGAGAGAGGCAAACCATGAGAGACTCTTGAATGCTGACAAAAACTGAGGACTGATGGATGTGGGGGGGAGGGGGGGATGGGCATGAAGGAGGGCACTTTGGGGATGAGCACTGAGTGTTATGTAGAAACTAATTTGACAATAAACTATTTGTAAAAAAAAATAAATAAATAAAAAAAATAAATAAAAAATGCAAAATCTAAAAAAAAAAAAAAAAAAATGGGCAGAGGACTTGAATAGACATTTCTCCAAAGAAGATATACAAATGGCCAATAAACACATGAAAAAATTTCAACATTGTTATTCATCAGGGAAACACAAATCAAACCCACAACGAGATACCACTTCGCACTCATCAGGATGGCTATTATTAAAAAAAACAATCAACCGAACAAAAAGTGTTGGTAAAGATGTGGAAAAATTGGAACCCTCATGCATTGCTGGTGGGAATGTAAAATGGTACAGCCACTGTGGAAAACAGTATGGAGGTTCTTCAAAAAACTAAAAATAGAATTACAATATGATTCAAGACTTCTATTTCTAGGTATATACCCCAAAGAACTGAATGTAAGGACTTGAACTGATATCTGTACACCAATGTTCATAGCAGGATTATTTATAATAGCCAAAAGTGGAAACAACCCAGTAACAGCTGAATGGATAAACAAAATGTGGTAGATTCATACAGTAAGCTATTATTCAGCCTTAAAAAGGAAATTGATACATATTACACATAAATGAACCCTGAGGAAATTATGCTAGGTAAAAGTTCAGTCACTGAGAGACAAATACTCTACGACTCTGTCTACATGAGGTACCTAGAGCAGTCAAGTTCACAGAGAGAGAAATTAAGTGATGGTTGCCAGGGGTGAGGGAGGGGAGGGGAAGATGAAAAAAAAGTTCTGGAGACAGATGGTGGGGACTGTTACACACCACCACAAATGTACTTCATGCCACTGAGCTGTACTTTTGAAAATGGTTGACATATTAACCATATATTAAAAAACATGTATTTTACCATAATTTTTTAAAAAAAACCCGTAATTTTGAAAACTAGGATTCTTTCAGCTGCATATTCACCTTCCTCATTCTAGTTTGCTGAGCTGCAGTTTGAAGAATTTGCCCTCTCTGAGCCACCACCCCCCCGCCCAGATTGGCCACCCAGGAAAGGCCCGGTGTCTGTATGGAGCAGAGAGGGCTGACTGAACACTGGCTTGGAAAGGCCCCCAAGTGGCTGCTTCCCCGGCAGATACGCGAGAGCACTTAGAATCACTGTCATCTTGCCTGGCTCATTCAGGTGGCTTGTGGCTGATTATGTCGCCCAGTGGGGAAAGCAGAGGATTCACTTCTCCCTTTGGCCTGGCGCTGGGAGCTCCTGGGAGGCAGCAAAGTGAATGACAGGGGGCAGCGGTGACAGGGGCAGAGGAAGGGTGGATGTGCGGGTGAGAAGCACTGTGCGCAACCCCTACAGGGAACAGCCCTACCTGGTTCACGAATCGGGAAAACAATCTTCTTAGAAACAGGGCATTTTCTAAACTATAAAACCTGGATGGAAACCACAGCGGGGACAGGAGAGCCAAACAAGAGGCTGAGCAAGGGCCGCTCAGGTTTGCATGTTCTCTTCAAGATGTGCTGGAATCTAGGATGCCCGGTTTCCAGTGAGAAAGCACAACACATAACCAGGAAAACCCATAATTAAGGGGTGATGGTTTACATGAACATTACCGGGATTATAGGTGGGTTCCCCTCAGCTCGGATTTTCTTAGCACATTTAAGGCTGGCTGTGTTCACGGTCCGGGCAAGGAAGTCAACAAACGGAGAAATCCTAAAACTGAAAGTGTTACAAGAGTCCTTGCTAATTGCAGACTGACCGTAAAAAACACACATGGGGATGCCTGGGTGGCTCAGTCAGTTAAGCGTCCGACTTTGGCTCAGGTCATGATCTCACGGTTGGTGGGTTCGAGCCCCACGTCGCGCTCTGTGCTGACAGCTAGCTCAGAGCCTGGAGCCTGTTTTAGATTCTGTGTCTCCCTCTCTCTGACCCTCCCCTGTTCACGCTGCCTTTCTCTCTCTCTCTCAGAAATAAATAAAACATTAAAAAAAATTTTAAACAAACAAACAAAAACACACACACACATGAAGTTATCTTGGAAACCAGCATTGCAGTTTCCGGGGAGATCCGCTTTATGGATATTGCCATGCCAACACTTTCTTTCCCCAATGAACCTCAGGCTTCCCCAGGCCCGTGGTCAATCAGTGGATGTGCAGGAAGTGCAAGTTCTCATTCATGCTCTACCCTCAGCGAAGTCTGGGTTTTTTACTGACTCAGGGGCATGCACACTGTCCAAAGGGAAGGGATAAAGGAGGGGTGCTAGAGGGTGGATTAAGGGCATTTTTCCTGGCTCCTACCTCTGCTCAGTATTCCATACTTCCACCTCCACAACCTCCCCCCACCCCCAATCTATGTTCCCAGGATTGGCCAGCTGTCACATCTGCCTCTGCTGCTGATTTTGAGGGGTAGTCTGGTGAGAGTGCACACTCCCTGCGGGTAAGTCTGGGACCCTCAGAGTGCAAGAGCCTCTCTGCTCCTTCACAATGGCATTTTAACAATGACAGTAATAACATCAAAAAATAGCTAACATTTATTGAGCATTTATAATGAACCAGGAATTATTCCAAGTACTTTACATATATTTATCTATTTAATCCTTATAACCATCTTGAGATAGGTCCTAGTATCTGCATTTAGCAGGTGGACAAACTAATGCCTGGAGAAGTTAACTAATTCGCCCATGCTCACACAGCTAGGAAATCCTGCCGCCTGCCTCAGACTGGAAGCTCCCCAAAGGCAGGAGTCCTGTGCCTTCGGATGTTTGGGGAATTTCCTGCTGTGGCCTTTGTGTGCACCCCGGGGGACGGCTCTCACTTCCCTCAGTTCCCTGAGGGCTGGTGCTCTGGTCCTTCCAACACATGAGGAACTTTCAGAGCTCTCTGCCCCACAGGCGTTTGTGCCTCCCTTTGCCCTATCCAACTGGGAACTCTGAGAAGGCAGAACTGGACATTTCCTCAAAGAAGCAGCTTCCTGGCACGGGGGCTGTGCAGAGCAGCCTGTCCGACACCTTTGCTCTCCTTCCTGCCCAGCAAAGCCCTCTGAGCACAGGAGGAGCTGGATGGCTTTTTTCTGGTCCCAGCTCCAGGCTGGTGGATCTGAGCGTGAGGTCTGCTGGCCCCAGGGACTGTAGAGGCGGTAAACAACCCCATTCGTGAGTCAGTTGTTTTGCTCCAGAGCAGCCTCATCAGCTGGACAGGCCCTGCCTAGTCCCTCCAAGTTTGTCCCCAGGGGTGGGGAACAGTGGATGGCCTGGAGCTCAGCTCTCAGTCCTTTCCTAGGAGGGGTTACTTCTCATTCTCTTGAAGTCTGGGATTTTTATTGGGAAGAGGTAGTCCCGGAGAGGGGCAGGGGAAGGGGTGTTGTTGCTACTTGTGTGGTCCATTGGAAAGTCCCAGCAAGCCAAGAAGGAAGAATGGAAGTAGCAGTGAGCTAAAAGATGCCCTGGAGAAGGTTCCAGAACCACTACATCTCTTCAGTCTCAGGGCTTCGAACAATTGGGCCAGGACCGCTTATGCCCCGCTTCCCGTCACTTCTTTCTTCTTATTATCTCCCCTCACTTCCCAGTCTGTCACCTACAACCACGTTGCTCCACAAACCCAACCCTGCCAACGGGGGCAGATAAAATGAGGGTCCCTGTGGGGCAAAGCACAGGAAATAAGTAAACTAACAGAGGGGGTAGGAACTAAGAAGTTGCATTATTGTAAGGTTTGCAGAGGAAGAAACCAGAGGAGTGGAAGCTGAGGGCCACGGGGTAAGGCACCGGCCAGAGGGACCGGGACTCCGGCTAAGGAAGGAGAACCACCACTACCACTTTGCTGTTTCTGCAGTGCTTTCCCCTGCATGCTTTCGTTTTCTCTTCCTACAAGACTCCGAGGTAGGCAGATGTAGTACTATCATCCTCTTTTTACAAATGGGACAGCAGATGAGGTTGGCCAAAGCCCACACAGAGCTGGCAGAATTGGCACTAACAACATTCATTTCCCAGGGCCCTTCCTACCAGCCGTTTGGGAACACAAAACCAGGGAGGAGGGCGGGGCATACTATGGAACGACAGCTACATGGGCCAATGAGAGGGAGGCCTCTTCATTGACCAATCAGCTCCTCAAATGGAGGCCCCACCCATCGCACCAAAGCCTGTAATGTACCACATCAAATTTAAGGGGCAGCCACGATGATGAGTGTCCAAAGGCCCTGCCCAGCTGTCTCCTGTCACAGCACAGCTACACAAACGCCTGTCGTGAGTCCCACTCCCCTCAAGGAATCCCGTTCCACCGGTCTCCCCTCTGCCCTCTCCAGCCCCCTTGCCCGGCTGTGCAAGAGACCTTACCCGGTAGTGATGTCGTCATCCTCTGTCATGGTCTTGCCCATGAGGTCGCTGTCGCTCATGTAGCCGGACTTGAGGTCCACCTCGTCCGAGTCCAGAGACTCGACCAGCTCCAGGCGGGAGATGTGGCTGAGCTTGCTCGGGCTGCGCATGGGCATGGTGTGTGAATAGTGGGCCCTCTCGCCGTGCATGTACCAGGCGGGTGGCCCCTCGGAGCGGCAGCCCCCGCCCACCGACGGCGCGTCCCCAGCCTGCAGCCGCGGGCTGGACTGGCCGTAGCGCCAGGACAGAGGGGACGAGCGGCTGGAGAGGCTGGACACGCTGCGAGGGTTGGCGTCATCACTGTCGTAGCAGGTCATCTCCAGGGAGCTGGGCAGAGGGCAGAAGGGCACTGGTTTTCATTCCGGCAGGGCCACTCTGTGCCCTGGTCCGCGCAGACTGCACCGCAGTGACCCTTCCCTGCCCATGCCCTCCCGCCTTCTCTGCACCTGCCCAGGTGGGTACGGCACCCCTGTGGTATGTTACCTGAGGCTGTCAGAGGAAAAGATTTTAAGTGTGAGGGAACCAACCAAATGGACTGTTAAGGGTACAGAGTTTGTAATATGAGCTGGGTTTTAATCCTTTTCTACCATGTATTTGCAAATGAGCTGAAGGTGAAGTAATCAACATTGCTAAGCCTCCATTTCCTCATCTGTAAAATGGGGATAACAGCACAACAGCTACTCCACAGAGGTGTAAGCATCACCTATGTAAATGCCTAACACAGCGCCTGGTACATGGAAGCTGCTCAAAAATGGGAAGGGTCCACTGAGATCTTTTGGGGGAAGTGGGATAATCTGGTCACCTTGAGCTTAAAACGGCTCGATCATTCATTTGTTCAAGGCATGTCTATCACCTCTTTTCTATTAATGAGCTAGGAGCAAGTTGATTCCCAAACCAGAGATGGCCAAGTCTGGAGTGAGGTGCAGAGGGTATAGGAAAAGTTTTGGGAACCTGAGACGTGTGTCTGGTTCCCAGGGAGACTAGGCCCAGCCAAAGGCCTAGGCCGTCAGGAGAAAGAAGCAGAACCTCACCAGAGCACAGAAGCAGCCTTAACTGGAAAGAAGAGAGAACATGTGGAAATGGACAAGAGGGTCCCACGCCTCAAGCCCTGCTAGGCCAGGCCAGGATAGCATGCCCAGGTTTGTGCTGGATAACCTGAGGGGGTGGGAGAAGGAGATGCCTTTCTCCCTCAGGGACCACGGTGGCTGCACAGAGAAAGGACGGTTGGGACGTGCTTGGAGAGGTGGCCTAGATTTGGGTTCAGAGACTCACTGATGATCCCACCCAGCCCAGCCCACATCAACCATAGGTAGGGTCTCATTGGCTTGGTCCAACTAAAGCCAGGCAGTGCTGAGTAACTGAAATAGGATCTATAGGCCGAGAGAGCTGGGCAGCGAAGGCAATCTGTGGCTGGACAGGAGTTGCACGAAGCATAGGAATCTCCACACCATGAGCACATCAATTTCTTAGCCACTTTTGGGGTTAAGGTAGAGTGGGGCATTGAGTTTTCTATTCTTGCTTTTGTGAAGTTCCTTGAAAAAAAGAAAATCCTCCCAAATTGTCTCTACCAATCTTGAGGAAACAATGGTTTATTTTTTCATCAGTAGAACAGGAGGAGCCCAAAAAATTAAAAAATAGATCTACCCTACGACCCAGCAATTGCACTACTAGGTATTTAACCAAGGGATGCAAGTGGGCTGTCTCAGAGGGGCACATGCACCCCAGTGTTTATAGCAGCACTACTGACAAGAGCCAAGTTATGGAGAGAGCCCGAATGTCCATCGACAGATGAATGGACAAAGAAGGTGTGGTGTATATATACAGTGGAGTAGTACTTGGCAATCAAAATGAGTGAAATCTTGCCATTTCCAACAGAGTGGATGGAACTAGAGTGTGTATTATGTTAAGCGAAATTAGTCAGTCAGAGAAAGACAAGTATCATATGACTTCACTCATATGTGGAATTTAAGATCCAAAACTGATGAACGTAAGAGAAGGGAAGCAAAAATAATACAAAAACAGGGAGAGGGACAAAACATAAGAGAGTCTTAAATAGAGAGAACAAACTGAGGGTTGCGGGAGGGCTTGTGGGTGGCGGGATGGGCTAAGTGGGCGAGGGGCATTACGGAGGACACTTGTAGAGATGAGCACTGGGTGTTATATGCAAGGGACGCATCATTGGAATCTACTCCTGAAAGCATTATTGCACTATATGCAAACTAACTTGGATGTAAGTTAAAAAAAAAAAAAATAGAACAGGAGGAGCCAAATGACCCTTGAACCTGAACATGTTAGTGGTCCCTCTAGAAGTCCTGTGGACAAGCTGGGGGAACCCTGGCCAGGCAGGGCGATTGGTGACTGCAGTTTCTGACCCTCTGGAGGGCAAGGGGGTCTTCCTGACCTGATCCACCCCCAACTTCTCCCCTCCGAGCCCTCCTTTGTGTTCTATATGCACTTTTTCAGACACTGTGTTATTTCCGTTTCTAATCACTGTGGACCTCAGAGAGAGTGGAAATTCCCTGAAGGAGACCGTGGGCCTGTGTGACTCTGCCTTGCTCACCGCTGTTTCAGTGCTTTGCATGGGGCCTGGCATGTATTTGGTACGTGCACAAGAACAAATCAATGAGGAGCAAACCCAAATATGCTGAGTTGAAGGGCAAGGAAGCTCTCGTCATTAAGACTCAGTACAGGGATTCACGCAGTAAGTGTTTAATGAAAACAAGCTGACCGTGACAATGAGATGAGGAGGGGAATGAAAGAGATGATGAGGACCTTGGTGACAGGGTGCTGGAGAGCTCTGGGACAATCAGTTTTCATAGTCAGTCTATGCCACGGTAATAAAATTAGTGCGAAGTGTGGGTTGTGCTTGGCATCCAGACGCCTCAGTTCTATTCCTGGCCTACTCCTGTTTAGCTCTCTGTGCACTCAAAGTGCCTCTTCGTCTCTTTCACTGCTCTTTTCTATCCCCCAAACACATCTCCAGAAATTTCTAAGTCAGTGGGGGAGGATTCCAGCTTAAAATTGCAGTTCTTGACTTCAGTCTTGCCTCTCTCTCTCTCTCTCTCTCCCTGGGGTTGGGAGAAGAGCAGTCCTGGAGCAGAGAGACAGTTTCATTTCCTCTCTAGCCCCAGCCCCCTGACCCAGACACTCTCCTTGCTGGGGAAACGAGCCAGTAGAAATAGGGGAAGCGGGACCGAAATAAAGATTTCTGAAAAAGGAATTGAATCTAGCATTAGCCTGTAAGTTCCAGAGTGAAAATGACCTTGCTGGAAGCACTCACTGGACAGTAAGCTCCTCATCAAGGATAAAGCCTGTGTTTGTTCTGGGGTTTGGTGCCCAGCACTGTGCCTGGCATGAATTCTAAGCTTCCTAGACACAGAATGCCCCCTGGTCAGCCTGTGGGACTCTGGCAAGGGACCCCCTCACCCCCCTCACTCCCCAGCCTCGGCTGCTGCTTCTCAAACCCAGAGGATATGAAAATATCCTGTCTACTCCCAGGGCTGATGGATGGAGAGCACTTTCAAAAGTAAAAGAGCCATAAAAACTCAGGGAATCATTGTTTTGGCTATCAAAGTATGGAACAGGAATAATATAAACCAAAGGCTAAGAGAGGAAGTGGCTCTGGGTCCACAATAAATAGCAAAACCAGCTTCAGGGCTCTTGGTTGGTTTTGGGTTTTTTTTTGTTTTTTGGTTTTTTTCCATAAAGGGAGATAGAAGCCAGAGGGCTGAGGCTCTCCCCGCTCAAAGCAGTAAGCTTTATGCAGAAGGTTTTCAGCCTCCCTCTCTTCCACCCCAAACAGAAAGCAAAAAGAGAGGTCAGGCTGTCCTGCTTAACTGGCTGGCTGACCCACGTCGGTGGCACCAGGATGCTGAAGCTGCTGCTCTAGCCTTCCCCTGTGGGTGAGTCATGTGGGGTGTGACCCCCTCAGCAACTAAGCACTTTCTGCCTTCTTTGGCATGGAGCTGGCATGTGATTTGGTGCCGAGAGCTGTCCTAACAACTTCTCTGCATGGGGGAGGGAGGGCGTTCAAAATTTTATCCACTGGGTCCCTGAACTGGTGAGCCAAGCTGAGCTCAGACCCTGTCCCACTTGGTCCTGCTCAGGGCTTTGAGGGCTGGAGGCCAGAGACAAGCATAAGGGGGCCTCTGGGAGCCCCACCATGTACTCTTTTCCTTAGATGTCCTTGACCACATCCCTTCCAGTAGTCTGAGTTCTGTGGGCCTAACCCCATAGAGTAGGGGCTTTGATTTAGCTTTTTTTTTTTTTTTAATGTTTTATTTATTTCTAGGAGAGAGAGAGAGACAGCGTGAGCAGGGGAGGGCCAGAGAGGGAGGGGGTCACAGACTGAAGCAGGCTCCAGGCTCTGAGCTGGCAGTCAGCACAGAGCCCGACGCGGGGCTCGAACCCACGAACCGCGAGATCATGACCTAAGCGAAAGTCGGACGCTTAAACGACTAAGCCACCCAGGCGCCCCTGATTTAGCATTTAAAATATTCCAGTGACCTGGAAACAAAGAGCTGAATGTCCAATAGGGAGGACGGGATGTGGCTAGGCAGAGCAGTAGGAGGGAGAGGGGTGTTCTTAAGGAGAAGAAGAACTAGAGCCGAAGGGTGAAAGCTGCCTCAGCAGCCTGATTTCAGTTCCACTTCCTAGTCGTGGCAATGCCACAGTGCACTGAGATGATTGACAGGTAATGAGTTCCCTGCCGTTGGAGGTACATAAATTTAGCCTGGCTATCACTTGTCCACACACTTGGGCTAAGAAAAGCCCCTGTCCTGTTGTCTTTCTGTCCCAACTTTGCTCTCCTTTCCCAACCCCAGGAGATGGGGAGGAACCGATCTCCAGTCCAAATGGAGAGGTCACCTAAGCCCTCTCAGCCTTCCTGCTCCACACCCCCCATGATTTCCCAATCCTGGCTGTCTACTTCCTTTCTTTCTACCCCCAGAGCGTAGCCTGGCCCTCTATCCCCCTTGGAGCTGACAGCATGAGCTCATCCGGGCAGCCCCAGCAGCCAGTGGGGGAAATTCTGAGTCACGGCAGAGGCTGTGGCCAGCATGCCGCTCCAGGAAGAGGTGCCATGGGAGGGATGAACACCCCGCGCCCCTGGAGGCCGCAAGGTCTCTACAGGGTGGGGTGGAGGGGCACGCCCACATGGCATGGAGCTGGGTGACACGGAGGCGGGGAACCCAGGCCTCCCTCAGCCACTGTCTGAAGAGGCAAGAAGGCACCTGCCAGATGAGTGACAAGATGCTGGAAGTCGGGACAGCGTGATCCCAGAATCCTCCAACAGACACTTCGGAACAGGAAAGGGACGGCACTTGTGACAAAGGAAGAGGCTGACACCTAAGGAGGGAAAGTGGACGTCCGAGATCACACCCTGGGTTGTGCGGTGGCTTGCGCTTCCCATCCCCCACGCTGGTGCTTTTTTCACATTCATTCGCTTGCAATGAAATCTCCAAAGCACGAGCCGACACCAGGCCAGGGTGAGCTTTTGCCGAGATGGCCGATCCTCCTCTCCCCTCAGCATGGTGCCTTGGTGCTCTCTCTGAAACCCTGCCCTCCAGAGCGGGGAAGAGAGAGAGAGAGAGAGTAGCGGAGGGCGTGGCCCCTTCTGCAGCTCAGACTTACCTGTGAGTCACCTGGGACCCTCGCAGGCTGGACATGGTCTCTTCCAGGTTCTGGCGAAGATCCAGGACATTCTGCACTGTCCTCTTTCTCTGGGACTCTGGGTCTGGCGGGAGAAAAGAGCAGTTGGGTGAGTGGAAAAGTTGCTGCTGGGAGCTGAGGGTGCCACGGAGTGGAGACTGATCATGTCCCCAGGACACCACTCCCCACGCCATGCTAGTCACCCTGGACACATGCCCTTGACCAGCTGACGTCTCGACCCTGGAAAGGGGCTGTAGGCATGGGGCCTTCTGTGTTGTGCACTCCTCCCAGACCCCCTGAGGAATGGCTTCTGCTGGCTTCACTTTGGGGAGGCCCTGCTTCTCCCAGCAGAGGTCCCAGGCAGGGTTCCCATGGCTGAGGTCAAATGGAGCGTCTGACAGAAACTCCATCTCGAGTGACGTGTCGGCAGATGTTTAACGATTGGCTTTTGGAGGCGGGGATGCCCTGACTTGTAGCGTTTGCTAATGTCTGTGGTGTAAATACTCCTCCCACGGCCCTTTTAAGCTACCAACATGATGTCATTGACTGCAGGGTTAGGGAGAAATGCCAACCGGCTCTGGGGAGCTGGGATGAGCCAGCTTCAGCACATCACACTCTGAGCCCCAAGCACTGACTGGGAATGCCTGGCGTTGCTCTATGGAGTCCAGGAGAGATAGCGCAGGAAGAGCCCCTATAAGTGAGGCATCTGGTAGGGATGTGACGGGCATGATCGGTCATTTCCTAGAGCATGGACTGGGCTCTGCGCAACTCAGATCCCAGACAGGGGTGCAGTCCCGAGTGGGGAGGATGTATGGGTGTGGTTGCCACCCTCAGAATCCTAAATGATCAGGGGTCATTTTATCCAACCTTGGTTTCCAGGCAGAATATTAACATGGACAGATGAGAAGAATCTACACAGAACAAACAGAAATTTATCCTATCTCCTTTCCAGGGTGAAAATAAAGAACTCAGAGAACTTTCTCCACCTTTCTATCAATCCATCCAGTAAATCTTCATCAAACACATACTTTGTGCCAGGTACCATGACAGGCCCCGAGGACACCAAAATGAAGAGGACCTGTCCCTGTCCCATAGTTTATCTTTGGATAAACTTTGATTCCACTTAATGGAATCAAATCCCCCCATGTCTCCCTGAAAGACAACGTAGTTATAAAAAGTCAAAGACCTGCAGAGAAATGATGGCAAGGCAATGGAGAAAATCCAAGAATCCTCATTCTCAGGCTACTTTCCTTTCCCTCCATCCCCAAACCCTCCGCAGTCTGCTGGTCAAACTGCCCGCTTGGTCCCTTCCTGATCCAGAGACTCAGCACGGGTAGGAGGTTCCTGCTGCCGCCAAGGGGGACATTTCTGAATCCTTTCCACAGGCACTTCTTCCCCCAAGAATAAGCTCAGGCTGGCTGGCAGGCGGCTGCTCTGTCTTGTCAGCCGAGGGGAGGCTGGGGAGGGCGGGTAGGAAGCCAGGCGGCAGCTCTTCTGAGAACCAGCTCCCCACTCAGACCCAAGCACCTCTCCTCTCCTCTCCCTAGGGGAGCCTATAGGAGGCTGCTGCTGGTAGGCTCGCTCACGGTCAACATCATGTATCCGGCCTCCATGCCGGCGGCAGGAAGGGACAAATGGCAGGCCTCTGTGCTCTGAGCTCTGTCCCCAGGCTGTCGTCACTTCTGAGGTTGCCAGTGCCTATTTATCCTGGCAACTGTCACCTTGTGAGCTGCTCCATGGCTTTAACTGATGGCTTGGCACGGAACACAGATGGCACCAGAAAGTGTATACGTATATTTTTAAAGCTTGGTTCCCAAATGCCTGTGCGGGGACCAAGAACATTGTGCCAAGATGTGGGTCTCTGGGCCAGGGCAATTCTTTCTATGGGTTTGGCAGAGATGAGGGAAAGGCATGCATAACTCCAAGGGGTGTGCGGTCTCAGAGCGGAAGGTGACCAAGAGTTACTCAGAGACGTGTGTGTGTGTGTGTGTGTGTGTGTGTGTGTGTGCGCGCGCCAACCCGTGCATGTATCATCTAGCTGAATCCTTACGTTTATGGGAGATTTGTGCTATCACACCCACTTTATAGATGGGAAAACTAAGACTCCAAAAGATGAAAGAAATTGCCCAAGGCCACACACCTAGCATGTAGGACAGAGCAGAGTTGAGCCCAGAAAGACACTGTCATTTCTTGTGATAGATCACAGGGCATCTCTGCATCATTATTATCGAGCACAGTGATGGCACATAGTAGGTGCTCAACGAAGACTAGATGGAGAAGAATAGATGGACGCTACCACAAAAGAAAATTGTGAAGCAGTACATTTAAAAAAAGAATGGATGGATATGTGTCCCTTTAGGAAGTTGTCTTTTTTTTTTTTTTAAAGGAAAAATATTTAATCCACGTAGTAGCCAGCCTCAGGAGGGTCACTCTGTATTTGCTAAGGCTCCAGGCCCTGGGGCATGGGAGGTATGGGTGTGTGAATCTAGATCTTAATGCTCTTGTAGTGACAGAAAGATCCTTTATTACTTCCTACTTTTCATTGCACCCATCACAGGGCCTTCTTCCCCTGTATCTCTTCCCTCAAAGACCACCCTAGCCCCCTACCTCATTTCTACATCAGTAGAGCAGGGCAGGGATACCCCAAAGTCTCATTGACTTGCCGAAAATTAGAGCCACAAGAGTCCTTGGAAGTGACTCAATCCAACTTGGTAACAGGAGAGATGGGAGGCTGGGGTCCAGCAAGGGGGCAACTAGCCGGAGGTCAGAGAGAGATGTTAATAGACCTTGTACCAGGTCTCCCCACAGTGTAGGCTAGGGCATACACAGGAGGAGTCTGGGTTAGAACCTGATTTGCTGGAGGGTGACCTGGATCTGCCATGAGCTCCTAGGCCTGGATGGGTCCTGCGGAGACTACACCCTGAAGCTCCCTCTGTGCCCCAGCACTGTCCCCTGGTGGTCATCTTGGGAACGCCACTCTACTTCTCAAAGGCTCAGCTCGACAGTGGCTCAGCTCATGACAGTGGCTCCTGAGAAGTCCGGCTGTGCTCCACATTTGTGGGTGATGGATACCCTCCTAGAGGTACAGGAGCAGCCCCACAATGAAAGGACTGACATGCACTTAGAGAGAAGGCCTCTGTAGCTCAAGAGGCTGCAGAAACTTCGCCTAGCTTTGGGGGGCAACTTGCCATTTATATCCATGACCCCAAAGCAAATCTTGACATATTCAACCTAACGATATGAATAATGTTGCATTTGCAAAAGAATCCACCCCACCCCTCATCCTTGCTCACTCTTTTTTTTTTTTTTTTTTTTAAATTTATTTGTAGGGGAGAGAGAGAGAGACAGCGTGAGCAGGGGAGGGTCAGAGAGAGAGGGAGTCACAGACTGAAACAGGCTCCAGGCTCTGAGCTGGCAGTCAGCACAGAGCCCGACGCGGGGCTCGAACCCACGAACCGCGAGATCATGACCTAAGCGAAAGTCGGACGCTTAACCGACTAAGCCACCCAGGCGCCCCCATCCTTGCTCACTCTTGACCTTCACTCCATCCACCTCTGACTCCCATCCCATAACTAGGCTTCAAACCTCTCTCCCCATCTCCCATGAGGATCAGAGATGGGGTGCAGGTATCCGAGACACACCGTATTTCGTGATGATAACCGCAATGCTTGTGGTTGATCTGTTTTACTGTAAAAGTCATGGTGCCTCAGAGGTCGCCTCCGTGTCTTTGTCAAATGTTTAGTCTGAGCATGGGGTACGCCTCGGGGACAAAACAGAGTACAGACATGCAGAGAGGGAGGGCCTGATGGCACCTCTCCTTCCCTAGTGTCCCTCTGTGTGGGATGCACTCAGGACACTCCCAGCCTATGTGGCACTTTTGTGCAGATGAGAAAAAGGCATTCTCCAGGCCGACTCCGCTAGGGGACCATGCTACAGCCAGTAGAGCATACCTTTCACATCCCTTGGACGCCCTGATCAGAGCACCTCTCACAGCCCTACTCTAAGGGTCTGGTATGCTCACTCTTAGCTGCTACAGAATAGGGTCCAGCTGCAAGAATGGAGTGTGCACGTGTGTGCCTGCGTGTGCGTGTGCAAGAAGCAGGGTTGGACAAAGGCCAGGCGGGGCTCCTGCAGCTCTGGGTTGACAGGGAGGTCTATGAGGGGAGCTCATGACGTCGTCCTGGGCGGCTGCTCCAAGCCTTTCCCTGCAAAAGGAGCGACCAGGGAGGATGAGTGTGCTCCTCTGGCTCAGGAGAGAGCAAGAGTCTCCCCCCACCCAGCCATCACCATGGTAACTCATAGCAGCCACAGACAACATCACCCTCCCAGCATGCACTGGGCACTGCAGGGTAGGGTGGTGTTTCTACACACTGCTGCCTCTTATACAAGACCAGAGGGCACCATGTTTGTCCTGAGCCTCTGGGCCAGAGCACCAGCAATCAAACCAACCTGACGCATGGGTGCATGCACACACAGATGCAAGTAAGGCCAGCTGCTGAATGCTTACCTCATGGTGGGCTCGGCCCTAAGCATGTTCCCTGTTTCTCTGACTCCAAAGCTCCTGTTCTTTCCACTGCAACACGGCACCTTGAAATACACACACACGCGTCCAGACATACACAGCCTACCTAAGTCCAGCCAGCAGTTTGTAGAAACCCTCACATTTGAATCATACACGGGCAGGTCTGCAAGTCCGCAGACATTCACGTGGAGAGACTTATGTGCACCTGTCTGTCCTTTGTAGGTGAGGAAGGAAAAAGATGAAAACAGTTGCACAGGGGTCATTTATCTGGAGAGGGGATGGTGCATCGGGAGGAGGCACTGTGCATGTTATGGTAAATCAGAAAAACAAGCTTCCCCCAGAAGGCAAGCCTATGAACTTGAACAAGACTGTGAACGAACCAAGAAATAGAGACACTGGGGCAAGAACATACAGGGTGGTGTAGTAGCAAGAAGAGAGTTCCTAGGGGCGCCTGGGTGGCTCAGTCGGTTAAGCATCTGACTTCGGCTCAGGTTATGACCTCATGGTTTGTGGGTTCGAGCCCTGTGTCAGGCTCTGTGCTGACAGCTAGCTCAGAGCCTGAA